GGGGCAGATGATCACCGCGAGGGATCCAAGCGGCATTTGCTGGAGCTCACCATCGACATCGATCCCGACCACAGGTCGGTAACGCTCGTCGACGACCCTTCCCAGAGCCGCGCGCCGAGGAGCTCGCCGCGCGGCCTGGCGCTCATCCGGCAGCTCTCCTGGCTCTCCGCGGGGCAGGCGTCGGCGAAATCCACGCCCGATCGTAGCCCGATCAGCCTGCGCGACGCCATTGCCAGCAGCCCGTTCGTGCTGAGGAAGGATTTGTGGAGCAAGAGCAAGCAGCGGCTCCTCAATTCCGGGACCAAGCACGCGCTCCAGGGCCTGCGATTCATCAGCACCACGAATTCGCAATGGCGGGCGGTGGAGTCGAGATTCTGGAAGCTGGCCAGCGACCAGGGGCTCCTCTCGCGGGCGGATTTTGGGCTTTGCATCGGTGGGAGGAGTATTTTGGTTGCGTTTGATTGATCATCCATCGCGCTCTTTTTTTTTTCTTTCTTGCTAGGCATGCAAGATTCTAAAGAGTTTGCCGGGGAGCTCTTCGATGCCTTGGCGCGGCGCAAGCTCAAGCATCGGCAGCGCGTGGAATGGATCAGCTACGACGAGCTCAGGGATTTCTGGCTCCAGATTTCGGACCAGAATTTCGACTCGAGGATGCAAATCTTCTTCGACATGTAAGCCATTTCTTCTTCTCTTCGATCATCTCCTGGATATCCTTGCGATCTAGGTGTGACAAGGATCTGGATGGACTCATCTCCGAGGCGGAGGTGAAGGAGGTAACAGAGATCGATCGATTGGTGAGCGGTGGTGGTGACGTCCTCGTCCTTTGTTTGCGATTTTATAGGTCATCATGCTGAGCGCGTCCGAGAACAAGCTGTCCAAGCTCAAGGAGCGTGCCGAGGAGTACGCTGCGATGATCATGGAAGAGCTGGACCCCCAGCGAAGAGGCTACATTGAGGTACTCCATTCCTTCTCCTGCTAGCAGCTAGCATTGGACTTCTCTTTCGTCGTCCATGGTTTCTTTTTTCATTTTTAACGAATTTTTTGCCCATGCCATGCATTGCATCACAGCTCTCACAGTTTTGGACTGATTCATTCATTCAGTCGCCTTTGGAGGCAGAATAGTCATGCATGACAAACAAATTTCCAGCTGAGCTTGCACTCTTTTCTTTTCCATCACTTTGTTCCTCTTTTCCAAAAAAGTGGTGTACGTTTTCTCATGGGATTGTCTTTCCTGCTTGACGTGCAGCTTTGGCAGCTCGAGAGTCTGATCCAAGGGACGACCGGAATCGGAAACTACGGCCAGATTTTGGTGCAGCCGAGGATGTTTTGTGGCAGCGGCTTGATACGCGGCATCTGCTACGTACTCATCGAGCACTGGCAGCGACTGTGGGTGCTGGGCTTGTGGCTTTTGGCGGTGGTGTGCCTGTTTTCCTGGAAGTTCGTCCAGTACAAGAACCAGTCGTCGTTTCTGGTTGCCGGGTACTGCATATGCGTCGCCAAAGGCGCCGCTGAGACGCTCAAGCTCAACATGGCTCTCATCCTTCTCCCGGTTTGTAGGAATTCCATCACTTGGCTGAGGTCCACAAGCGTCGTGGGATCTCTTATTCCTTTTGATGACAACATCAACTTCCACAAGGCAAGTTGGTAATCTTTTTCCCGTGTTCTCAACATCGTGGTTACAGATAATCGGGGGAGCAATCTTCATTGGAGTCGTTCTTCACGGCGGAGTTCATCTCACCTGCGACTTTCCGAGGCTGGCGAATTCCCCTCGCGAGCAGTTCATGGCCGCTGGACTCGCTGGGGACTTTGGAAACAGGCAACCTACGTACTGGGAGCTCGTAAAATCGATCGAAGGCGTTACAGGCATTGCCATGGTCCTCATTATGTGCGTCGCCTTCGTTCTAGCATCAGGACGCTCGCGGAGAAACCTGGTGAAGCTCCCGTGGCCGTTACACAGATTGACTGGCTTCAACGCCTTTTGGTACTCCCACCATCTGTTCATCATTGTCTACACGATGCTCGTCTTACATTCCATGTTCCTGTTCTTAAAGCACGACTGGGTCGATAAAACAGTAAGTAATGTTTCCCTTCCTTTCCTTTTGTTTTTCTTTGGCATTTTGCAGTTCTTAATTCTTTCGTTCTTTTAGGCATGGATGTATCTTCTTCTTCCAACACTGCTGTACATGTTCGAGCGAACGTTTTCCGGTCTGCGAGCAGGATACTCCACTGTTCAAATCCTAAAGGTTGTATAATTCTGGTAGTTTAGTGATCATAATTCTCGTCTTCTCAGGCGGCAATCTATCCTGGAAACGTTTTGTCTTTGGACATGACCAAGCCTCCAGGATTTAAGTACCAAAGTGGTATGTATATATTCATCAAGTGCCCATCGATATCACCTTTCGAATGGTATCGTTTGTGCTCCCACGTTCTACATTTAAAAACGTTCTAACTTTATTAGCGTTGACTGATTGGCGTCTCTGGTTGTCTGCAGGCATCCTTTCTCCATCACCTCCGCACCGAGCGATGATTTTGTCAGTGTTCATATTCGGATATCGGGAGATTGGACTGGGGAAATGGGAAAAATTTTCTCCGAGGTACTTTAAATTGGACAGTTTTCTGGTGGTATGTGACATGGAACTACACAGGTTTGCGAACCTCCAGTTGGCAACAAGAGCGGGCCTTTGAAAGCGGAGTACCTCTTTGGACTTCAGTCACGGTTTGTGTTAAAACTTGACGTTAGTCCTTACTTTCGTTGGAACAGGTTTCCTAAACTGCTGATTGATGGTCCTTACGGAGCTCCAGCTCAGGACTACAAGAAATATGACGTGCTTCTTCTCATCGGTCTTGGGATAGGAGCAACACCGTTCATCAGTATTTTGAAGGACATACTAAATAACATCAAAACAACTGAGCCCAAGGTATGAGATTTAATGAAAGATCATCCATTTCCTTACCATTGTCTAGGTGCGAAGAAGTGAGATGAAACCTCTGAAAAAGGAATCGTCATTCAGAAAGATTAACGGCCCATCCAACGCGTATTTTTACTGGCTTACAAAAGAGCAAGGCTCATTTGAGTGGTTCAGAGGCGTCATGAACGAAATTGCTGAGCTTGACCATTCGGTATGTTTTAAACGTCCTTCATTTTCTAGAAGCTGACAAATGCAAGCACAGGCATTGATTGAAATGCACAACTATTTAACTAGTGTTTATGCCGAGGACGATGCGAGATCAGCTCTCATAACAATGGTGCAAGCTTTGCACCTTGAGAAAAACGGAGTAGACATCCTCTCTGGAACTCGAGTAAAACCAAAAGTTTTCTTTATCTCATTTTGGAACTAATCGATGGTCAACAGGTCAGGACACATTTTGCAAAACCGAACTGGAGAAAAGTTTTTGGCAACTTAGCATCACTTCATCCAAACGCTCGGATAGGTACACGCAAAGATAGTGCTCTTGAAGGTTTCTCATTACGTTTGTTCTTCAGGAGTTTTCTTTTGTGGATCTAAAATTCTCGCACGGGAACTTGATAGCCTAGCACGAGAATACTCGCACAACCAAGCCACCAAGTTCGACTTCCACAAGGAGAACTTTTGACACACACACTCACAGGCAACTAAAGCCCTGTGACATATAGGACACTACAGTCGCAATTTACCCACACTAAAATATAGTGGAGGTGAAAGGTGCGATTGCAAGATCCTTGAACTGTAAATTGCAAAAGAAAAAGAGGAAAAAGGTAAGATTAGGTGGAATATATAAAATGACATTCATCATCTTTTAGTTAATGATAATAAAAAAATGGGAAAACAAATTGTCCTTAAGATATTTTTGGATGCACTAAAATAAGTGGTATTCTTATTAAATAAGTTATTTGTATTTTAAAAAAATAAAACTTTTGTTGTGAATTTTTAATAAAAAATTGTGTAATACATTGTTGGATTCTCTTTTATTATGAGGTTTACAAGTTTGAAATATCATGACTCATTTACTTCCATTGTATAAGTGTAACACTTTTCCACCTGTTTAAAAATATAAAATGAATAACATGAAATAATTTCTTTTGCTATTTTTATTTAGTAAAAAATTAATATATTAAAATTTTAATAAAAAATATAATAAAATATCTTAATTCTTATAAGTTTTTTAACTTAATAAATGTTTTATTTATAAAAATAAAAATTTATTATATTTTATAATTATTAGTAACACATCACCAAATATACCTTTATAATGTGTATTTATTTAGAATATGCAACGACAAATATAATACATATTTAGGAAACGTTTTAGAAATTAGTAAATAATTATTTTCATAAAAAATTTACTTATTTTTCATAATTATAAAATATTAAATTAAGTTATTTTTAACTATCTTATTTGGGCTTTATATCCAAAGATAACTGTTGACAACTAGTATTTTGAATATTATATGCATAAGTTTATCTTATGGGTGGTCTAAAGTATTATTATATTAAATAATTTTTGGAGTTAAGCTTGCCCATGAGTTTTATAAATTTGAGAAAATCATAGTTAATAAATTCAATTTTTTTAAATGCAACATAGTAATTTCTTTACTATTTAATGAAAAAACTAAGATTAATGGTATTGATTGAATATATAAAGTGACATACTTCCTCTTTTAGTTATTAATATAACTAAAGAGTATTATATCAGGAAAAATGGCTTTAAGATACTTTTTGAATAAAAATTTAAAAAATGTAATTTTCTATAAAAATTATTTTTATTTTTAAAACTTTTTAACTCGTTTTGCCAGTTTTCTATAATTTTTATAAAATTTATACACTTTTTAATACTTTAAAAGTTGTTTTTAACTTCACCTTTCCATAGAACTTTTTTTTTCCTTGTTTAACAAAAATAAATAAAACAGTAAGCTTTATAAACAAACAATATAATGAATATCATCTTAATGCTTATAAGTTTGCTTAACTTAATAAAGTTTTAGTAATAAAAAATAAGTTATTATTTTATTATTACTTGGATATAAATGCTTGTCTCAAATGTTAATTCTTACCACAATGTTATAATTTATTCCTTGAAATATTGAGTGCTAGCCCCACAGCAATGTAGCCATTGCCATTCTATCGTGTTTTCAGAATTTCAACTCCAACGTATCTGCAAAAGCTCCATGAGAGTTAGACAATGATCCACTAAAGAACAGAATAGAGTACCTCCCAAGCATCATCACTGTTGCTTGAGGATTGGTTCCAGGAGTTGACAAAAAAGTAGATCCATCCACGACCCGCAATCCGTTCAAGCCCATCACTCGGAAGCTCCAGTCGACCACTTCCCCAAGCGGGCATCCCCCATGGTAGTGGTAATTCGTCGAAACACTTCGCCGGCAAAACTCGCTGATGGTTCTATTCACAGATCCACTCGCAACGAGCGTTGCATTTCTTCGATCCGGCGAAGACACCGTGCCTCCAGATGGAAGGGACTGATTCCCAAACACCAGCGCTGCCATGGATCGAGAGAGCACCATCTCCTCCAAAGTGTTGACTCCGGCAATGCAGCGTTGT